GTGAGGCCATGAGAGATGCTGGCAAGGTAGACGTGGAAAAGTGTGACTGTCGGGATTACAGCGCTAAATCCAGGTTTTCTGCATGGAAGGCTGGCAGACTGCAGGAAAAGGACCCTAATGTGCAGCACTGCCTCGGGATCTGCCTCCAAGCAGGAAAATCAGATTGCATGACATTACATGACTTCTCTGCTTCCTCTGACGGGAGTGAGAAACACGGGGAAGGTGGTTTCCATCCGCACGCTGCCCATCGTGTGCGGGCCCAGCAGGAAGGAGAATTAAGTTCGCATCAAGCAATTATTTCCTTAATTTCTCGCAAGCCTCAAATGTCTCAAACTGCCAGTGGGCTTTTTGGGCACTGGGTTTGTTTTGTCTTTTTCTGTCTCTTCTCTTTCTTTTTCATCTTATTCCTCCTTTCCCTCTTTACTGGTTCTAATTCTGTCATTAGTAATTAATGACTTTGGAGGGAGACATTTTCTTTTTAATTAAAGGAAGACAAGAGGAGAGCTGTAGTGACACACAAGCACCATTCCATCTTTTAGCATGGACAGGATTTTCCTGAAGCAGTTTATCTCTTCCAGCAATTGGGGAAGGGGCTGGGACCAGCCCAGGGATGTTTTCTGAGCTGGTGTATCCCAGTTTGGAGAGCTCACCCTCCCCACCTCCTCATCCACGGCAAGGAGCTCTTGTGTGCCTTGGACAAAGTGAGCTGGGGAGTAAATTTTAACTCCAGGAGAGACTCTCTCTGAGAGTAAATTCACAAGGGAAGGGCAGGCTGGATGGTGCAAAACCCCCTCCAGATGTGGCTGCTCTCCCACAGAGACCATGGAGAAGACCTCAGGCTCACCTGGCTCCCTCCAAACGTCTGGAGAGCTTTGTAGAGGCTCATCCCACGGCTGCCCTGGAAGCTGGGGAGAGAGCACAGCCACTCTCTGGATCCCAGCAATGCTACACTGACCCCCCTGCTGGCTGGGGACCCCTTTCCCCACCTTGGGAATCCCCAAAGCATCATTTGCTGATCCATCTCCACCAGGATCTGCTTCGTGGCTGCAGTGAGGACCCTCTCCTCACTTCCACTGGGAGCTGCCCAGCAGGAAAACCACCCCTCCCATCTCACCTGGAAAAGAGGTGATTATTCCTCCTGCTGACCCTGCTCCACCCGAGCCGATGCCCTGCTCCATTTGTCACTGTTTGGGAGAGCGGGAAGGAGGCCACGGAATGGGGATTGACTGCTTGGCTGCTGGCTGGGCTGAGCTCTGGTCATCACAAATTATTCCTTTAGTGGCTGTACGAGGGACAGTCACACTCTGGGATCGCTCCAGCAACACTCCAGCTACTGGGAAAAACTGGTCTGCTCCCAGAGAGGAGGAGGAGCACCAGCGGGATGCAGTGCAGGCCCTGGGAGAGGACGACAGCCACACACCTTCACTGTGGATTTGCTGGTGCTCTTCAGATTACTCCCAGCAATCAGTAAAAGCCATTAGGGGGGTTTTGGAGAAACCTGTGGGGAGCCAAGCAACTGGGAGGGAGGAGAAAGAAATGAAGCCCCATGTCTGCAGGTGTAGTTCTGCAAAGGATACAGCAAAACGCAGTGGGAAAGGAGGGATAATTGGCCCCGAATTAGCGGCTGACATTCAGGGAACAGCTCTTGGGGCTCCTGCAAACTGCTGGGAGCAGACACCTGCCCAACAGTCAGGGGAATTAAGGGAAAAGGAAAAAAAAAAAAACCCAAAACCTAAGACAAATGTCAAGGCAATACAAAGGAAGGAGCATGAAATAGCACAGGACATTTTCTGAGGCCATTATCGGAGATTCACAGCCCCCTCGGCCCCGGCTGTCTCCTTGGAAAAGGAAACGAGGGCGAGGAGAAGAAAAACGGCCACGGTTAATAGGGGAACAGAGTGTGTTACAGTGGGGAGGGAGAGTCAGGGATGATCCTGATGCCCAGCAGGGAGCCTGGAGCCGGTGGGAGCCACACAAGTTGTGCTGTGCCAGCCCGGAGGCTCCGGGGATGCCGAGCTCAGAGAGGAGCAGGGCTGAGGACTCACCTTCCCTGCTGGTTGTGGACTAAAAGGAGGGATGTGAGGGAGATAAACTGCTGTGGTTTGTGGGTGGAGGAGGGATGGGGAGCTTGGCTGCCCCAGCAGAGAGGGAACAGGCTCGGAGGTGACAAGTTTGGGGAGGTGGGAGGGCATTCTGTGGTCCTGCTCCTGGGGCTAAAGAGCTGATCCTGGCTGGGATGGGAGCACGTGCCTGCTCCTGGGTCATGTTATTTACAGCAAATGCATTAAGAATGTTATTCAAATATGCTGCCTTCTGCAGTGGACTCCCACCTTGGGAGTAGGTGAGCCTGGCACTGAGGGTAGACTTACTGTAGGGAAGAAATCTGGGATTCTGAGGGATCCTGGGTCTTCCCAAGCTCTGACAGTTTTTTCAATTGTCCCATCCTTGGTGCTGGGATGGGGTGTCCTGCTAAGGTCTCCTTCCTTCCCTTCCATCAGAGTTCAACAGAGCAACAACATAGAAAAGGTAAGAAATTCAAGGCCAGCCATGAGGAAAAGTAACATGGGAAGGATGATGGGTAGGATTGAATGGGCCTCCAAGTCCAGCCCCAGCCATTCCACGTGCCCTTGGATGGAGATGTACCCCTCCAATCACATCATGCTTGTGACAGTCACTGCCCACCACAGCAACTCACACTCAAGTCAAATCCATCTCCTGCTGGCTCCAGGAGACTGCATCCTGCCCCTGTTCCCCCCTTTTGCTCCCCTCTTGCCTTTTTGCCCTGTTTTTATTTTTGAAACTCTCAGGGAACCTCACATTAACTGCAGCTTGGAGAAAGTAATCAAGCTATTTCTAGGCAGAGAACTAATTTAATGCATGGATGACTTTAGCTCAAAAGAAGAAATAAGGACACTCAGGCATCCTAAGGGAGCAGAATAATAGGGTAATTTGCACAAGATGAGGAGAAAGGGGAAAAAAGGGCCACTACTTCTTTGCATAATCTTCTTTCTAAATCTTCTCTCCCCTGTTTTGCTGGTCACCACCACCAAGTCTCCAGACACTGAACATCCTCACACACAAAGAGGGAAGACCTGGGTTCCCCTCAGCGTGATTCCTGCTGAGGAGCTCACGGGAGTGGGAAGAGCTGGGTAAGGAACAAGGTTTTGTGGCTCTTTGGGGTGCAAGGAGGCTGAAAATACCCTCAGCCTGTGCCAGAGGCAAGGAGGCAGTGAAATTTCTACAGCCTGAGAGAAAACTCCACTATTTCCAAACACCTAAAGGGCGGAAAGGCAAGGGAAGGGAAGGTGGGAAAGGCGGGGAGATGCCGCTCAAACTGTTTCCTTCTGGCGGCGAAACTCTAATATTTAGAGCTGCCTGATTATATGGAATAAAAGAAATGTCAGCATGAAAATCGTTTAGAGGTGAAAAATTGAAGCTTTCCCTTCCAGATGTGTGAAAACAAGGATGTTTTCACTTTACCAAAAAGCTCCAAGACACAATTTTCCCTTCCCTTCACCCTCCCAAGCAACGTTTGATTGAAAGCACCACTTTCCTGCAGGAAGTTTCCATTATGAGAAAAACACCTTTCCTGTCAATAAAACTGTTCCTGCTGAGGATTTCCCAGCAGTGTGCAAATCCATGGGGGTGGTCAAGTGATGGGAATAATAAAGTCAGCATGGTAGAGGCACACGTGGTCACAAACCCACATACTCAGGGATGGGTCCATCCAGCTGGGACAGCATCCAGAGTATCCCTGGGATGCACAGCTGAAAGGGATGCCCTCCCAGCTGCAGGAAATTATTCACCTCTACACTGGACACAGCAAGTTCTGCCATGAAAGTGGATGATTTTACTGGCTTTCATCCTGGATCAGCCCCCTTCCCAGAGCAGGTTCCCTCCCTGCAGCATTTTGGTGGAGCGAGGGAATTGCAGAACGGCTGCAGTGAGGAGAAGCCCCATCAGCCCCTCTTCTCCTGCCCCCCGCCCCAAGGAAATGGGATCCAGGGATAGACTCACTGTAGCCACCATCCTGCATCCCTTTCTTGCTCCCTGCCTGGCTCCAGCCGCGTTGGATGGACAGGGGGAAAAAAAAAATATAAGTAGGTCACAATCCCATTTGTCGGTTATTTTGCACCGGTGGAGTGACTGGAACCGGCAGCTTAATGGATGGATCTCACTTGTGAAATTACCCAGCATAAAAACATGTGTACCTGCAGGGCACAGAGGCTTGGTCACACCAGGAGAGGAGATTTGATCCTGTCACCAGCCAAGAATGGAAGAAAAGAGCCTGTTCTTGTCCTCCTCCTTCCTGTTTTTCCCCTCTCCTTGGCCAGGGATGTGAGCAGGAGAGCTCGCTGGCTGTATTTCTCCTGCATTTGGCCTTGCTGAACCTCATGGGGTTCACATGGACCCACTGTTTGAGCTTGTCCAGGTCCCTCTGGATGGCATCCCATCCTTTAGGAGTGTCAACCACACTGCTCAGCTTGGTGCCACCTGCAAACCTGCTGAGGGTGCCCTCCATCCCACTGTCTGTGTCACTGGTGAAATCACACAGTGCTGGTCCGAGTACAGACCCCTGAGGGGCTCCTCTTGTCACTGATCTCCCTCTGGACATTGAGCCATCGATCAAACACATCCTCAGGTGAGCTTGGAAAGACCCCATGAATGGAAAGTGGGAACACCGGGAAGGAATTGTAGCATCTTATTAGTAAAAGGGCATCTGAGCCTCTAATTAAAATTTGCCTAATGACCTGGCTGCTTCGTCATTTTCACTATCAGACACAGTAATTAAAAGTGACAGGTACTTGGGCAAAGGCAGAATTAATTTCTCCTTTGTAAAAAATTAAAGGGGCCGAGCGTGGATCCGGCCGTGCCCCCGCCCACTGTCCCACACCAGGATTTGCTGGATTTCGTGGCCCCTGTGCCACAGTGGGGCACACCTTGGGGAAGGTGGGAGGAGGAGAAGGAGGAACAAGCTACACAGAGCAGATGTTTCTTACCCTTAATACCCACTGGAAAGGTGCCCAGATGATGGAATCCCACTTCCACGGAGACAGAGGGCCCTCTCTGCTCGGGTGATGTTTGGGCAGGGCTGTCCCAGCGTTGCCAGCCAGTGATGTGTCCTGAAAAACCCACACAGACACCAGCGATCAAGCCTTGGTTTTCCTCGAGCGGGAAAAAAGGTCCACAGTTCTTCCCTCAAACCCTATTCCTATTCTCCACCTTTTCCCTGCAAACAGACATCTGATGTCCCTCAGCTGCAGCCCCGTGTCCTCAGCCCCATCCCTGGAGCCACCTGCCCTTCTCTCCCCCTCCCTACCCCTCTCATTTTCAACAAGCCCACTTCAAACACTCAGACCTCTCAGCAAATTCACCGCCACTTCCCAAAGGTGGAAAATATCCAGGAGACTCTCCCAGCAGTCCCTGTTTAGCATCCACAGCAGCTCCTGAGTGCTCCCTGGGAACACAGATCCATCCCTACATGTATCCCCCCACACCATCAGCCCTCTGCCGTGTTCCCACCTGAGCTCTGAAGATCCACGACTTCACTGTGTCCCAGCCCACAGGATAATGATGCCAAGCCATTCTCCAGCCACCTCCTGCCTCCTGCAGTGGCCACTCCAAGCCTGGGCAGTCCTGGCTGCAGCAGCGCTCCCATCCCTCTCCTCGGGTTAAACCAGAGGCTGTGGTGGATTTAGTGCTCAGCAGCAGCAGTCCACACCTCATCGTTCATGCCACATTGATTCTCAATTCCAGCCCTGTAGGTTATTTAATTGGGCAGATATCCCTTCAATTTTCTCCTCCAGCGATATTATTGATGGCTCAAGTCTCTCTATTTCTTTGTGTGGGGCTTCAAAAGGAGCCTGGTGGCAATTATAACAACAGTCAAACACTTGGCTTTTGATTGTACTTTGCAGCCCCAAATCTCAAACAATCCATTAGGCCTATCTTGGAGGTATTAATTGTCCCAGGTTCAGTCCAGAGATAGCTTGCACTGCCCCTAGGGCCGGAATCATTACTCTTCCCTCTCCATTTACCTCCACCAAGTGCTTTTTGAGTTGTGAGTCAGGCTGGAGGACTGTGCCCCACGTATATCTTCCAGCAGAGCTCACAGCACGGTGCCACTGGGGTCAGATGGTGGCCTTGGTCCCCAGCCTGCCCAAATCACACCCACAGCAGGGTGCTGAGCTGGGAACCGACCACTGGGGCAGCACCAGGACAGGTCTGCAGGCAAATCAAACCCCTGTGGGCCTGCATCAACTGTGGGCATGGGCCAAACACTCCCAGTAAGCCCCCAGTGTGGCACTGGGCATGCTGGAGGCGGTGAAGAGAAACAGCAGCACGTCCCAGGTAAGACAGCAGAGATACAGGAGGGTCTGTCTGCCCACTGTGCTCCCTCCCCACTCCCTTCCTCACCAATGTCTGGCTGAAGTGTTGCATGGGGATAATTTTTCCTGGGCATCCTGTATCCCCAGACCACAGCCAGCCTCTGGGAGGTGGGAAAGATCCAGGCTCAAACATCCCTGAGGGTCCTCCCTCACATGCAGTGCCCCACAGGGAGCTCCACCATGCCAGTCCTTTGCTATCCAGGGGCAAAACCTGCCAGGAGGAAACTGTGAAAGACCCCTTTGACTCCCTCGTTTCACCTCTCCAACATCCAGTGTCGCACAGGGAAGGAAACGTTTTATTTCAGGCTTTATTCTTTCCCCCCCTAATTTTTGATGGATGTAGTCTCAACCTTTATACTGTCTGAAAATGAATATTTTACTGTAGTATAAAAGCTGAAATTACACGAATTAATTATATTTAAATATTATACTGAATATTTGATTCACGGGGCGGAATGGCCGGTGTTGGAAGGGAATGTTTCGGCTGTGCTGGGCAGACCCCCAGCAAACACGATCTGTAGGTGCAACCCCCCCAACAGCCCCCTTTTCATTTGTACTTTTCCTCCTTTTTTTTTTTTTTTTTTCTGCATTCGGGAGAAAAAAAATCCATTTTCTGCAGAAGGTTGGAGAAAATCAGGTTTGTGCCTCCATGCTTCCACCCCACAAGCCCTGCAGACCTGTTTCCTCAGCGCCGTGACATCCCCAAGCCCACATCCAGGCTCAGCGCCGTGCCGGGGCTGCTTCCAGGGCAGGAAGAACATTCCTAGGGGAACAAACCTGCGGGAGAACATTCCCGTTGCTGGTGCTAATTACCCCGGGGCTGCTGGCCCCGCACTGCCTCGTTCCCTCCCCGCAGGGTCACGGCAGCGATTCTGCCCCTGTGAAAGCTGCGCCGGTAATTCCGTGTTTGAGATGAACCCTGGGAGCACCCTGCGAGTCATTCTCTGCAGGAGAACAGACTGTGATATCTCTAATTAAATGCGGTGGGGGTGGTCTAACAAGAGCACACTGAGCAGCTGAGCACAGAGGGCTGCTCCCTCCGGACACCCGGAGGGATTCCCCTTGCTGCCGGGATTTTGGGGAGGGAGTGAGGAGGTTTGCTGGCTCAGCTGCCACTGCGGTGCTGAAACAAGGTGATGCCCAGAGTGATGCCAGCCTTGGTGGGGTGTCCTGGTATGAACACATCCAAACCACCTCGTGCCATGAAGTTACTGGGTGCAGGGAAGGGACAGAGCAGTGCAAGAGCCAGGGCAGGGTGGTGACCCATCTCTCCTGCTCCCAGTCCCATCCTTTCCTCCTCCAAATGCCTTTGACCCACCTGCACAAGGTGCTGGTCCGTGTGCCATCACCCACCTCACTCTGCCATCCAGCCCCTGCTGAGAGCTGCTCCAGGAGTTGAGGGTGTTGCCGTGGGATTTAAGTGCTGAAAAAAATCTCCGGGAGCAGTTAATTAGGGGTGAGATAAGAAAGGGTTTATTTTGCCAAGGCTAAGATGTTACAAGATGCACCCGCCTGTGCCTGAGAGGTTACATTTTTATAATACCATCCATCCAATCCCAGATGTGCCCACCCTGTGGCCTTTACTCTGGTCCGCCCCGGGGTCCACCCCCTGAGAATTGAGTCGGGGGGCTTTCGGGACCCCGTGTTCATCCCATCTTCCTCTCCCTCAGAGCACAAAGGGTACATAGTTACCTAATTCTTGACCGTATTCTGTGGTTTAGGCCCTCATATGCTGTTCTGCCAACAATCTAGGCCTTGCCTTGACAAAAGACTAAACATTTTTGCTGTATTCAGGGGTATGAGTGATATAGGGAGCATAGAATGGGGTAAGAGGGTTAAGGAATGTGTAAACAAGGGTGCTAGAGAGAAAGGGAAAGGGACAAGGGACAAAAGAGGGAGGGTTGCTGCTTTTAAAATCTACTTATAAAACTTATAAGGCTTATGAATATTAGAAAAATAAAAAAAAATTAGGGGCTTAAGGCATCAAGGGTGAGGGTGGTGAGCCAGGGAAGGTCTGGGCTGTGGAGGAGGAGGAGGATGGGGAGCCCGGGACAAGGGTAACCACGGGGTGACTCAGGACAGAGGTGTTTTTACAGGAGCACAGCGTGAGAAGCTTGTACACCATCTGCTCCTGATCACCCTGCATCCAGCGAACCAGCGCACTGCTCTCTTTCCTACGTGCTAAAAATACTCCCTTTAAAGAAAAATAGAACAAAAAGAGAAAAAGAATGAAGACAGGGAAATGAGAGGAGTATAAACAAAGACTCCATGGAGACCACGGGCTTCATCGTGCTCCTCCTGCTGCATCAGGTCCCTTCCCCCATTTGCTCTGTCTGTCTCACATTTTAGGGCAGAAACATGTTATTACTGGTTTTCTACACCTCTGGAAGCAGCACATTCCTGCACACACATGTGCACACACGTCCCAACTTTGTGTCCAGGCCACCTGCACTGTCAGTGGAGCTGAGTCGAGCCACCGCTCCCGCTCCTCTCCTCAGAGATGAACTGGGGGAGGAGGAGGAGGCAGGTCTGAGGGGAGGGGATGGAAAACCAGGGGCTGGTTTATAGACAGAGCCCTCCAGGGAGGGATAGTTCAGCTGCCTCTGGCAGCTGCTCTGCCCCAAGAATTCCAGCAGCAGACCCAGCTGGCTCCTGACCACCTCCCTCCCTGCCAGGACCCTGCCTTCCCTGGGGTACTCACCACAAGACATGATCTTCCCAGGTCCTCAGACCTGGAATGATTTTGCCTCAGCTGTGACCAACAGCCCCTGCAAACCCTTCTGGGATGTCACTGATGGCTGTGGGGCCCAGCAGTAGGTGAGGACTCGGGTCCTTGCCTGTCTATCACCGCAAACCCAAGACAACCTGGGACTGTTTGCCCTCTGAGCCTCCACTTCCCTCCCCATCCAGGACTGATTTACAGCCTGAACTCTGCAAAGCAACTCTGGCCTTTCTCAGGGATGATGTGCAGCACAGAGCCCCAACACACAAACCCACCCCGGGCCACACCACCTCACCACAGCTCAGCAGGCTGAGAAAATCCCATTTGCAGGAAGCACACAGCAGCTCCAAGTGATGGAAATCCTCCTTTCTTGGGCAGAGAGAGAGGGGAAAGGGAAAGAAAGATGAAAAAAAGCTCTTTCTGGGGAAATTAAATTGGACTTCAAATTTACAGGGTCTTCATTTTGTTCTGGTGATAATGAATTAAGCCCTTGCTGGCAGTTATATTGCTGCAGAAATAAGTACCAGTTAAAAGCACTTTTGGAAACTATGACTTCCATTTTAAAGCTGCCACAATTTACATTTAATCCATTCATTAATTCATTTATTTATGCTACTCAGGTACAAACTTCACATCTCTCCTTTTCCAGGATTCACTAAGACACTGGTTTTTAACCCCAAACCAGTTCCCATATGGAGCTGGGGGCCGGGCCAGGGGCCCATTTCCCTCATTTCCCTGAGAGAGTTTTCCCGGGCATTATGCAGGGCCTTCCAGGAGTTCTGACTTGGAAGTGCTCAACCAAACCTCCCTCAGTGCCAGGACCAAAAACACCTGCAGATGTGAAAGGAGGGCTCAGTGATGACCATCTCCAACAGCCTGTGGAGAAGCAGCCACATCTGCCAGCCTCCTAACAGCACTTTGGATCAGATGATCCTGAAAACTTGGTTTTGCCCTTGTGCAGCAGGAGGAAAATCCCCAGTGATCCTGTATTAATGTTTTGGCTCCCTCTCACTGAGGATCTCCCTGCTGACACGTGTCTGTGGCCACAGACACCTTGAGCTGGAGGAACCAGAGAGGAATTCCCATAAATAAAATCAGGCAACCAAAAACTCCCTCGCAGCCCTTCCAGGCTGCTGATGCTACAGGGACAGTAAATCCCTCCCCACCTTACAGGGCAGACACTGTTCCTGCAGGAGGTGGCTCCTGGTTTGATTTTGACAGCCCCAATCCCATTTCCACGTGCCTCTGGTGCGGCTTTGGGAGGTGTCTGCTCCTCAGCTGACTCCATTAGAGGCCCCAGAGCCACCCTGCTCCTGCCAGACACAGGATCCCAAATGCTCCCATGATTTACATGGCAGCTTTTCATTACTTCCCTTCTCCAAAGGCTTGTTCCATAAATTACCAGTTTATGAATTCTAAAGTGCTCTGTGCAGCCCTGAACAAAAGAGAAGGGGAAAGAAACCCCACAGCCCAGACCAGCTCTAACAGCAGAGCTTTTCATCCTGGAAAGAAAGGCATCACTAAAGCAATATCTCCTCTCCCCACG